AATAACGAAGCGGTTGTCCACTTGATCCGCTTGATCCGCTGCATCCACTTCACTATTGGTCAATTCGATGTGAAGCGGATCAAGCGGTTTAAGTGGATTGAGCGGATCAAGTATGACGCATGCCAAGAGCACGCGCCATACCTAATCCGCTTCATTCACCTCGCTATTGGTCACATCGGCAAATTGGCCAATGGCGAATTGGACTAAGTGGATCAAGCGGCTCAAGCGGATCAAGTGAAACATCCGCTTCGCTGTAGTTCAGTTCACTGATTTGATCAGTAGCGATGTGGATGAAGAGGAGAGCGGATCAAGCGGATCAAGTATCTCGCGTACCAAACAAGTGAGAGGTTTGTTAGCAACCCGTGATTGATAGAGGCGCTAATGACAAAAGAGATCATTTTCCACGGACAGGGGCGTCGCTAAACCAATCAATCAATGCTGTTTTCAGGGTTCGCTAGTTGGTATAGGCAACAACATCATGAAATTCGTTTCTGTTGATCACTGTTTCCACGAAGTGAGTTGTAGAATGTCAGACAAAGCATTGGAATAATCTGAGATTGCCCTCAAAAAGATCCAACTTTCCTATTACGTTGTAGGCGCAAGCAATCGCAAAGGTCGGGAGGTAATCCAATATGTGCTATTTCTCTCAAAATGCGTTTCTCATTTGATCTTCGTTAAAAAGCATCTCAATGTATATGGGATGCCGCTCTAAAAGCCTATACGATAATGCAGTATTAGCCATTTATTTTTGGATTTTTGAGCAACAAGAAACCTTTTTCAAAAGCTGCTGTTGTTCTCTATAGGAATTTCCATTCTAAACCGATCCAGAGCGAATTTTACGTTTTAAGGCTGAGCGAGTACCATAGGCTACTTGCGTCATCGCCCGCTATACAGTTCATTCACTTGCTAACTCTGAACTACGAGGTTGAGAGTTGGCACGGGGGGAGAGGGGGGGGGAGTGATTGCTTTTTACGAATACAGTATAAGTTTTCAAGATTATCGATTTCTTTTCGATTTTGTTAATTTTTTGCAGAGTTTGGCCTGCGGGGCATGGGGTAAGCAGGCATGCTGAATGTCGCGTTATAGTGGGGAGTTCCAAGATAAATTCCAAGATTAAAAATCGACAACCTAGTCTGCAATAACTCCTAATCAAAACGTTTAGGGTTATATCGACTGTGTTCCAAGAGCTGATGTAATCTTCATACGCTTTGAAAGTTCACCGGATGATCCTTGGGCGATTGATCAGATTGATGTCGACATTCATTTTCGGTTGGGCATCGGACCTGAAAATGCGTAAGAAACCAATTATCACACATATGTACCTCAAACTAAATTGTGATTTGTAGATATCAATGGCACTTCGAGCATTCTGTTCTTCTTCCATGTACTTCATGGTTGAAAGATGCAGCTATGTATCAGATAGGCCCACGAATTGGTCTCTTTGTCAAGCACGCATATCACTACATGCCGAAGGAGAACGAAAGGATTCGTGATTGGGTATGAAACGGACAAGTCAGCATTAAACAAAGTTCTGAAGTGCAATACTTTATTTTATAATGTAAATAAACGTTCAATAGTATCCACTGTCTAAATATTCCTTTATAGCATGCTTATTGAAATTGATTTGCAGCACAGTGCTGATTTGGAGTTTTCCAACAAAGCTAACTACCGGCTTATGTTTCGTGATTGCGTAGAAAATCCGAAAATTTTGACGAGCTACTGTAAAACCATGGCACTTCTGTAATAGAGCCCCGAGGTTCAAAGTCTCACTTAAAAAAGGTTACTGGGGTACTCGAGAGCTAGTCAGTATATCATTCTCTTTTCGCATGTTGAGGATTTAGACACGTGCCAACTTGATCCGCTTGATCCACTTGATCCGCTTCACCCACTTCGCTATTGGTTAAATCGGCAAACCAATGGCAAAGCGGATCAAGCGGATCAAGTGAAACATCCGCTTCGCCACTGGTTAGTTCGCTGATTTGACCAGCAGCGAAGGGAATCAAGCGGATCAAGCGGATCAAGAATGGCGCGTGACTTACGATAGGTATTGTAGTTCAAAAAAAATGAAATAAAAAATTGAAATAAAATTCGTATTCGAACGATTTGTCTGGAAAATTCGATTATTCGAATATATTTGAACCAGCGTCACGTCTGCTTTGCAGAGGCACGCACTGGCCTACTATCTATATC